ACAAACAGGATTATTGAATTAGAGACTTTCTAGAACTGAACACGAGGTAGAGATTCCCAGTTCTACTCAATATAATTATCCAGCTAATGTGATAAATCCCAGGTCTTGGGAAAGGTCACAAGTTTGCCAAAATGTAGAAAATAAATCGTACCTTACCGAACATCTGCGCAAAGAATTCTGAAGGGCTAAACTTATCTTTTAATCTTTGTTCCATGCTTGTTGAGTTGCTTTTTAATCTGCTTTTTTCCCCTCACAGGAAATTAAAGAGTTGGAGGAGTTTAGAGCCAAAAACCAGCGTTTGCAGAAGGTAAGGTCAGGAGATCATGTGGAGTTTTCTTAAACAATTAGAAATTCTCCCTAATCTCATTGTTGTGTGTCTGTATCTGTCTGCAGCTGTGGGTTGGCCGGTTGCTGCTCTACTCCTCTGTTCTTTACCTGTTGACCTCTCTGACTGTCTACTGTCTCTACCTGCCTGAGGAATGGCTCCAGAGATTAGCCATGGCCCTGCCTTTCTTTCTGTACCCTGTGCTGTGAGTGTTCATGACCATTAAAGGGTTTTTGCTGGATATCGATGTCACTTTTAGATAGTTTTGGCATTGGTAAATATTTGCCTTGCGCTAGATGATATTTTTGACACATATTTGATGAGTTTTTTATTGATGTAACATGCTTTATAATGATCATGTATGAGTGTTTTTGTAATTGACCAGTGTCTGTCTGTTCTTCAGTGTGTGGTTTATCAGGAAGCTGCTGATTTTCCTCTTTTCCAAACGCACTGAGCGAAACAGTAAGTTTATAGTTGGTCTTTGTTGGTCAAAGCGTTCATTAGTGTCATGCATGTTCTTGTTAAAAAAGGAGGTGCAGTTTCTGAGCAGAGGTCAAAGTTGTTTTGCTTTTTTTTTTTTTTTTTTCAGGTGACAAGCTTGAAGACTTAAAGGCAGCCAAGAAGAAGATAGTAAGTCTGCCTCCTGCTCAGTCCTGTACTTCAACAGGGAGTTTTTTAGTCGCCACTTCTGGGAGTGTGACTCATCCGCTCCTCAGCCGCAGCGTTTTTCTGTCCCTGCTGTGGTATCTGTGTTGTTATATTTAGATTCAGACCTCTAGCCATCACTTGGAGTTACCGCCATGATATAATGTTTCTTAATTTAATGGTTCTTTCTATAGTAAACGTCCATTCTGAAGCCTATGTAATTAATTTTCTCTGAAGAATTAGCTTGTTCTTGGATGTTTTGGATGTCAAGTAATATAACCAGGTTACTGCTGTTCTGCAAAATTCTCCTGATTTATGTGTGCAGCTGGAGGAGGTGATGGAAACCGAGACGTACAAAAATGCCAAACTGATCCTGGAGCGCTTTGATCCTGACGCTAAGAGGAAAGCCGTGAGTGCTTTAGATCTTTAACCTGCGCGCCCGTTTCAATCTTTACATTTGTTTACATGCGTCGGTGTGGTTGTTTGGCAGGAGCTGGAGTCGACGCCGGTGCGTTCTCAGATAACTCCCAGGCCCGGCCAAGGTAGCGCCCAAAGGTCCCCCATCGGGGAGCCGCTGCCTGCTGGAGCTAGCCCACAGCTACGGCCGGCAGCCTCTCTGAAAGCATGCATGCGCTGAATTCTTAAAACCCTGAAAAAGAAACGGGGACAGTGTGTCTTCATCTCTTTTCTCTATATGCAGAGATCCGCCAGAGGGGGGTGCCAATGAGACCCATGCCCATGGGCACCCCGGCAGCCGTGGGAATGACTCCTCCACCCGGAGCGAGGCCTCTGCTGGGACCAGGGGGTACACCTGTGGGTAAGGGGTTCAAAAGAAAACACTTTCTCTGGCACTACAAGTCTCCACATTTGTTGAGGATCGTTAAGGGGACGGACAGAGACCTCGGTCAGAAGCACCAGCACGCTGAGTAGCTCGTCTTTTTTTTTTTCTGATGTTGCTCTCCCGACAGAACATGTTCCTCTCTCAGCTCCAGGAGGACCCCCGGAGAGATCGACTCCTGCTTCTGTCCTCCAGGGAGCCGTGCCCAGGACCCCCTGCTCCCCCATACCGGGCGTAGGTAGGTTTGAGTTTTTATGTTTAACTCTTCAGAGCAGCTACAGTAATGTAGGCAGCACCGGCTGTAAATTCTGTCTGGGGGAGGAAATCTGGGGATGGCAGGCTGAATCCAATCCCCGTGAGGTGCATATCAAACACACTCTATGCTTTAGATGTGGAGCGTGCATGAAGTCATTTTGTGTTTCATCGTGTTCTGCGTTTTCATTTTTGTGTGAACCTTTGGCAGGTATGCATCCCCCCGGACCTCCATTAGCAAGACCCGTTCTGCCCAAAGACAGGGGAGCTGTGGACAGAGTGATCGAGTACCTGGTGGGAGATGGACCACAAAACAGGTAAAGACCCCCTGCTCTCCCTCTCTCATTCAGCAGTAAAGGAGAAAATATACAAATAAAACAGACATTTCTCTCCAGTTTCACTGTTATGAAAGATTCTGTGCACTTTTAAAGCCCAGCTGATGTATACTGACTATAAAACATACAAATGAATGAATAAATGATGTTCAAATATTTCAGACCGATCTGGTTTGGTATTATAACTAATCTTTTTAAGCTAAAAGTAAAAGTTCATTTTGAATCTCATTAAACGCCGCAGCAGCCTGCTGATTAGTGCATAGTAGATTTTCTTGGATTTATTGATTGATTTTGAGGACAAATAGATGCTGACGTGTCTTTTTCTCCTGACTCCAGATATGCTCTAATCTGCCAGCAGTGTTTCTCACATAACGGCATGGCTCTGAAAGAGGAGTTTGAATATCTGGGTGAGCTCAGTCATACTCTGTTTAGTTTTGGAGAACATATCTCTGCACACTTGAATTAGAAGCACTTGTTATAGCTTTTTTTTTTTTTTCAACACCATGAAGGTTTAGAGGGATTAACTGTGTCTCTCACTCTTCCCTTTTTCCGACTGTCCCCCGTTAGCATTTCGCTGTGCGTATTGCTACTTTCTGAACCCGGCCAGGAAGACACGGCCTCAGGCCCCCCGACTCCCAGAGTTCAGCTACGAGAGGAGGCTCAGAGCGGAGTCGCCCTCCCCGGGACCGCAACCGCGCCCCGGGGGGGACACGGACGAGAGCGCCCCGCCCTCTGGAGGTACTCATTTGGGTTTCCCTTCAAGCTACTACGTTTCTTTCTGAGCAGGAGCAGCTTAGATTTAACAGGCAAAAACAAAGTCTGAATGAGACAAACTCTTCTTATCACGTGTGCTTTTCTTTTCATTTGGATGTAGATTACTCCACCTCTTAACCACCTGTACTTCACACTTCTCGTACATTACCCCCTTACCTCTTTTCCTTCCTCTCATCTTCACTGTTCATCCTCACTAGACGCAGCATAACTGGATCATGAAGCAGAAATGAGTCTGCCTGGATGATCTGAATTGTCTTGCTTGGATTCTGTAGTTTCAGTTATCAATCAAATGTGTGTGGGAGAATGCTAAGTCATGTTTTAGCTCGCTGTCCTTTGCAGGGTAGCACACTGTAACAGACACAGAACCGCTCAAAGTGAAGCGGGCGACAGCACAATGAAGCCTGTCTGTCAGTTCCCAAAAACCAGCACGCTTCCTGCGCAGAGCCAGTGGCCGCTGGGTTTAACGCTGTGATCTCGCCCCTAGCCAAAGCCCCAGCTCCGTGGAATATGGTCCACAGTTTCAGGATCCAGCAGAGTCCACAGAATCGCCAGAGCCGGCCCCTGCAGAGTCCAGGTTCCCCCCTGCCCCTCCTCTCCCACGCTGTCCAATCTGGCATAACCTCATCTGACTGTGATTCGTTTGATTTTCTTCCAAAGGCTCCGATTTCCTCTGCTTTAGACACGTTAACATTGCCGAATCCCGCCTGTTCAAACTACTGCGTCTAATCACACTGAATCAAGCCGCGGAGTAGCTCAGACCTGGGTCAAAAGGTGCTAACGGAAGCCTCTTTGAATTCAGCCTCTCAGGCTGAAACTGTCACTGAGGCTCCAGGGTGATGTCATTCATTTCCACTGGCAGATAATCTGAGGAGATAAACTCCAGACTTTAGTCTGAATTACACCAGTTTGACTCAGATTTGGACTTCACTGTGTGGGCAAAGTATTTTACACACCAATCTTCCAACTGAAGTAGTTTACTCCCCCAAGTCTGTAGGTCACTTTTCTGAGAAACAGAACATGTTCTTAAACTAAACCTGGCTGTCCAGAAGAGATTCTGCCTCCCAGATCACTTCCTCATGACAATAATTTACATTTCCCCTGTTCTTCAGCAGGTTTGGGGGGTTGTGTGATTATGGCCATCCACCTCTGACATATCAACCTAAATGCAGATCAAACCATCTTTTTATGTGCTCCTTTTCTGTCTAGTGGAATGAATTTAAATTGACTTCCTGAGGTGAATCAAACCAAATCATCCTAATCGTTTAAGCACACAGCACATTATTACCCTGATTCTTGGAATGTTTTTCATCTAGTTTCAAGAAGCTCTATTGTTGATTTTATCCTAAAATTATTCTTTCAGCTCAAAAGCACACTCTAGTTGTTATTAACGTTCTTACATATTTTCTTGGAGAGTTTTCCATTGCATGTTCATTACTGTTTGTGAACCAGAATTAAGGGAATGTTGTTAATTTTCTCATCATCACAGATTTTTAACTCTCCAACCTGTCATCATTGTAACGACATTATTTTGATCATCATATGATTCTTGCCCTTTGAAATTTCACTCCTTTCAACTCCTTTAAGTCGGCTTTGGGTCAGAAACGAGTCTGACTGCTCGTTTTCTCCACAGATGAGCGAGAGATGGGAGAAGATGAGGGACAGGCCAAAGAAGTAGAGGGTGACAGCCAATCGGAGGAGCAGCAGCACCAGGAGGAGGAGGACGAGGAGCAGGAGGAGCTGCCGGTCCAGGGCCAGGCGGCCGAAGAGGAGCCGGAGCAGAGTCCAGACCAACCCCAGGAGGCAGAGCCTCAGCCCTCATAGTTCTGAAGTCCAGAGAGGGACAAGAGATGCAGAGACTCTGTCCAGGGAAAAAAAGGTGTTTTTTTATCAGCTGTGTGTTTAAAAGCAATACTGATGGACAAGTAGTAGCATCAGGCTTTGCCCAGCAGTATTGCCTAAAAGAATCCCAGCCCATCATGGTGTCGACAGCTTTGTGTGTCCAGGGCGTTCGGTAGCTGATTGTAGTTTTAATCTGAAGACTGTAGTTTGATGCTGGTGAGACTGACCCACAGCTGGCAGCAGACCCACTCACATAGTTCGACACTCTATGATTTAATCTGCCATTTTTAGTTGGAATGCCGTTAGATTCTACGCTAGTTTCATGTTTTAGATAGAATAGCTGTTTTTTTTTCATCCCGATCCTCTTATTTCCTAGCTGCTTGATGCAGGATGTTAGCTTTATAACGGGACACGTAGCATCTGGGATGAGTTTTACTTCAGACTGACGCATGTGCACGCCTCATCCCGCTGAACGTAGAAGACTTTTTTTGTTGTGTTTGAGCAGACTTGCTATTGGAAATACGAGCAGCTACTCAGAAAACTGCAGTTGCACCGCTTTGTGCTTCCACATCTGCTCAGAGCTCGTTATCCCACAGAGAGGGAAAAGCAGCCCGTAAACCCGGAGACCACCTGCCGAGAGGCTGCTCGCCCAAGGAACGGAGTAATTGGATGGATTCTTTAATACTGCCATTACTTCCTGCCGTTCTGTATTCTCTGCACAATTAGTGACATTACACCTTATTTATGGATCAGTTATTCCCTCAAACGGGGTTTTCCTTTGCACTCTCACTGCCCCGTGTTTTATGGAGGTCTCCGGGTTTCTGCCTACAGCACTGAATCTCCTCTGGAATGAGCTTTGTCCTCCGCAGCTATCGTATCGATATGATTTAGTTCCAGTTGTTCTTTTTTTGTTTTTATTTTTAAATCCATAAGAGGAGGTTTGTCAAATGAAATGTAGTGTTATCCACAGAAAGCAGCAGCTTCTCCCTGTTGTTTCGCTCTGATTTCAGCTCATCGTCCTCGTCGGGATTTAGCCAAATGCAGCGTTGTCTTTTTTTTTTTTCCTCTTGTGTTTCCCAATTACATTTGCACCGAGTGTCACTATTTATTTATTTATTGACTTGGCCATAATGTGTTTTGACTTCTGCTTTGGCTGCTTCTGCACAGATTTTTAAACGTTCCGCGGTACGACGCGTTGTCTTTTTTTAACATTTAGAGTTTTTTTTCCTTCTTCTTCTTCCTGCTCCTTGTCAGTAGTTGTTCCCTCATATGTGCCTTGTTCTGCTGGTCTGGTCATCAGTTTACATTGGAACTGTCGTTCAGCCTCTTTAGGAAAAGGGGGTTCGTGGTCCATGTTGCCAACTCCGGCACCATTGTGAGTGTCTATGCAAATGTACAGATTTTGGACTGGGGCCTCTCTGGTCAGCTTGTTGTTTTCAGTTTGTCTTAAAGTTTTCCCATCCAGTCTGCTTGAGTTATTAGCCTTTAACCCTCCACTCCATGGATTAAATCAAAGGTAGCAGACACACGGCTGAATCTCTGGAAGAGGCCCCATTGGGATTGAAAGGCTCCTGGTGGTAGCTCTACAGTGTCCTCATATCCGTGTAACTTCCCCTCAGAAGCGTTTTTTTTTTTATTATTGGCTGATAAGCAGCTGTCCTCTACGTTGTATCATGAACGTGTTACGATGTCTCATCATCCCGTTTTGTTTTGTCTTGCTTTGCGCACCTCAGCCGTTCGTCTTTAACTGTGAGCACAAGGCGGCCAATAAAGTTTTTCAGCAACACAACTAGTGGTTTGTGTCTTTATTGTGCTAGATGTCCCCTATCTTGGGTTAAATAGCTCTAACCCAAACATGCTCTGGCTCAGGAAGAATAATTGTTCAGTAAAAAAAGGGAAAAGAGTGGTCAGACGGGACGTCAATAACTGAGAGAGGAAGCCTGATGGTATGGTGACTCCGTTTTTATTTTCCCATGTTCTCCACATTTATACAACTTCAAATAAAAAAACAAAAAACACTGGATGATGCAGTGCGACGGCAGAATTCGGTGTGACGACTAAAGAAAACGTGAAGTCATTTAAAGCCGCAAAATAAATCAAGTTGCCTTCAGCCTGTTGAAACACAAGCAGCAACAGAGCGACTTTGATGCTTCTGAATGGATTTATTCACAGACGTGTCGGCTAATAAACGTCCTATAGCGTGTTTTATTTGCCCTGCCACTATATAACCTATACTTTAATTCAACTTGTTATTGAACATCCCAGAAACCTCTTAGAATCCTTGATAAAGACATCACAGATAATAAAGACAAACAAACATTTGTACTCTTTGGGGATTTAAAAAAAAGGAGAGGCAAATTTCCATTTCAATATAACAAACCTTTCAATGTTTCTGTTCCTGAAGCCTCAACTAACTTCAACTTCAGTGCCAGGCGGGAGCAATCAATAAAACCTCCATGTAGGAAAATATCCCGCCTGCACCTCCAAACAACAGAACAAACCCTTCCTCAAGCTGCCGGAAAAGAAAAAGGTGACATTCTGCCACTGGCTTTTAAACGAGAGTAAAACACAGCCAGTGTGATGGCAGCAGTCTGAAACAGTAAAAATAAAAAACAATAGGAAAAAAAAAAGGCTTGTGACGAGAAAAGTTTCAAGTATGACCCCGCTTAGATCGGGAGGCTCGTCGGTCGGCATTTCCTGTTACAAAGTCTCCTCGGTTTTTAGTAAATGCGCAAACTCACACGGTTAGATGTGCCGGCGGAGGCAGGGCCAGGCGAACGCGGGCCCCAAGGGGCCCCACGGAGCCTCGGGCAACCAGCCCACGCCTCTGATCTGACCCCGCCCTGATCTGACCACTGATCGGGGCCCCTCACAGCATGTGGAGCTCGATCAGCCTCCCGGCGAAGACGGCGAGCGTCCCGATGATGCACACGGCCATGAACACGCACAGCAGGATGTGGTCCAGCACCATGGCAACGAACTTCCACTCCTCTGCCGCCTGGAAGGAGATGAAATAAGGGAGAGCTTTAAACCCCCCCACACGCATGGAAGGCATTGATTTGGAAGAGACCCTGGAGGGACAGAGGCCTCTCCAATTCCTGAGTCCACAATGACGACTATTACTATTACTCAAACGATTCAGAATCAAAAGCCCGTTCGGTATCGAACCCTTTAAATATCCACAGCTGTCAGCGGCCTTTAGCAGCCTTCTGGGTCGTATATCTGTATTTTTGCAGCCAAACCTGACGGATATCTTCACGGAAAAACGTCATTATTAAGAAGTCCTTTCTGCAAAATCACATTCAGTAAAGGTTCAGAGATGAATGAGCTCATAAACAAACCCCCATGCCTTCTGGAAACAAGTCCTCTGAACCGATTGGGGGTGAATGTCATAAAAGCACCTGGTAAACGCGGGAATGGATCAGCTCTGCCCAAAGACTGAGTTACAGCCCATATTTCATCAACTGAGCACGGAATGGATCCATCATTTGGCACTAATGGCTCAGACTGCTGGATAAGAATGGATGGTTTTAGGAGGCTGTTTCCAAGTAATGAAACACCTTTAGAATGTATGATAGTAATGATAATTATCATGATAATGATAGTAATAATTACAATAACATTCAGGGAATTTCATCATGCAGAAATACAACTGTATGGAAAAGATGGACATCGTTAAGAATTAATCATGACCTCAAAGCCCAACCAACTTAAAAATGATGTAAAATAGATAAAAACCATCAATAAGAACTGGAAAAAACGTTGTATCATCACTGTAACCACTGCACATGCTAGATTTCATTGTTTTTTTTTCCATTTGTCAACTATAAATAAAGAAATTCTCTTTTTTTTTTGCAAGATATTAAAAATCCAGTGGAGTTTGTTACATGCAATAAACCGAATTTTTCACTCACATTGTTGGATTCTTCGTCCGACTTCATGGTTTCAGCGATGTACTTCACCCCCTCGATCGCACTGCGAACATCTGGGTTTTTGATGATGGGCGACTGGTAGGTGACGCTGTTGGGGGTGGGGTTACCTGTGGACGGAGAACAAGAGTTCAAACGCGGGGATGGTGAACTCTGGATTTCATGAGTTCCCCCTTTTTTCTTTTCCCGCTTTATCTCTAAGCCCAGTGTTTTTACCCGAGATGTCGGAGATGTCCATGTCGGTGGGGAAGAGCCTCTTCTGGCGGATTTCCTGACCGGGACGCTTCATTGTGGAGAAAAACATCATGTTGGGAATGGTTTCGATGAACACCTGCGAGGCAAAAAAAGAGCCGGTTCAAGTCTCCAAAAGCCGTAAAGCCTTTCGATCTGTATGGAGCTGAGTTTGTGGAGGTGGACCTTCCGTATCCAGGCGGGCATGGTGTGCGTGCTGGGGGAGCGGTGGTGCGTGTTGATGACGATGACGGTGATGATGATGGAGGCGATGACGAAGACCATGGTGAAGAGCATGTATTTGCCAATCAGGGGCACGGCGCTGGACGTGGAGGGGATCAGCTCCACGATGACCAGCAGGAAGACGGTCAGAGACAGCAGGACGGAGATGGAGAGGGTCATCTTTTCACCTTAAGGGCACACGACCACAGCCGAGAGCAACAACGGGTCACAAACACACAACCTCCTACCAAGAACAAAGCGTTTTTACACTCCATTGACCAAAAAACACACAAAAACACACAACCTCCTACCAAGAACAAAGCGTTTTTACACTCCATTGACCAAAAAACACACAAAAACACACAACCTCCTACCAAAACCAAGGCGTTTTCACACTCCATTGACCAAAAGACACACAAAAACACACAACCTCCTACCAAAACCAAAGCGTTTTCACACTCCATTGACCAAAAGACACACAAAAACACACAACCTCCTACCAAAACCAAAGCGTTTTCACACTCCATTGACCAAAAGACACACAAAAACCCCCAGAAATCAACAACTAAGAACAAAAAAGCTTCACATAAAACAATAAAAAGACAAAAAAAAATGATATCTTAAGGGCAAAAAACTAAACAAAACAAAGCATCACTGCATCCAGTGAAAAACAAACGTTTTTTTTGTTTCATTTTCTGTAATATTATATGATATTTAGTAGGTTTTTATGGAGTTTTGGATTGAATAAAATTCATTTTTACATTGAAACAATGCAACAAACATGGATTTTTGTGTCAGAATTACATGAAAATGCCCCGTTCCCGTTTCCTGTACTGTTTTTTTTAATGCTAATTCAAACACTCCCCGTCCCCCGGACCGACCTACCAGAATCGGTGGGGAGGTAAAAGACGAGTCCGGTCAGGAAGGAGAACAGCATGCAGGGGATGATGACGTTGACGATGAAGTAGAGCGGCAGGCGCAGCATCAGGAAGTGGTAGGTGATGTCCAGGTAGGGGGTGTCTGGACAGCAGGTGTAGTAAACCCAGTGCTTCCAGCTCCTGTAGTCCTTCAGCACCCACTCGCCGGACTCCATGAAGTTGCTGAGGTCCGGCCGGTCGCTGTCCTGTGGAGCAAAGAGCAGGGGAACCCCTGAAGCACATCCTGTTGACCGGCCGCTCGGGGGGGAGGGGTGGGGAGGGAAAGAGAAGAGCCCCGCTCACCGGGTTGATGGCCACCAGCAGCCCGTCGTAGGTCCAGGTCCCCAGCTTCATGCTGCAGTTCTGCAGGTCGAAGGGGAAGTGCAGGACGATGATCTCGCAGTAGCTCTTGAAGATGGCCGGAGGGTTCCACACGATCATGCCCGTGTACTCCAGCAGGACTTTGGTCTCGTGGATGATGGCGAAGTCGCCGTCGGCGCTGCGTGGGAGGAAGGGGAAAAAAATGTGAGAGCAGCGTGGTCGGTAGACGAGCTAAACGGATTCGACGATATATCTTTACTTGTTGTATAAGACTAAGTCCGGTTTCCATATGTCAGTCGATGGAACTCGGATCTTCTTGATGCCCCCGTAATCGTCCGGGTTCCACTTCAGGTTCACGTCTATCCATTGCTGGGAGGCAAGAAAATGGGAAAAACTTTAGACCGTCAACACACCAACAGGGCCTCCCCAGTTACAGCCAGTTATCTGACCTCTGGTCACCATAAACTGCGTCCAGTTTATATTTCTAACACTTCCTGCTTTTTGAACGTGTAAATTCACCTGTTTGAGGCGGACGTTGCTGGTCACGATCTGGTTGACTTCGTCCTGGGGTAAAAAAAACTGAGTCAGACATAAAAAACAAACACATAGAGCTTTTTTCATTCATCCAGCTTTCAAATGGAGTAGATCTATGAATTCAAACATAAAGGCCCCTTTTCTCCCCAAAATGTTCTCAAATAACTCCTCTATGTGTGTGTGTGTGTTTTAGGGTGAATGTGGCTGGTGGTTTTACTAAAATAAAAATAAAAACAATAAAAAAGGGCAAACTTGAAAAGTTCAGTTTAAAAAGTTCAACTTTTCAAGCCTGACCATGACCTGGACCACTGAGAATCTTCACAGATAATAAAAAAGGCGATTTATCATTTTAAATAAGAAATAAGGATTGCTTTACAGAGTTTGCCTTCGACGTAGTCAGCAGTTGTATTTTCAAGCTTGTGAAATATGCTTTTAAATCTTCCCCCTGTAGCTATTACAGCTTTGAAAACTATCCAACAGGGGAGAGGCCGAATGGTTTCCAATAGGGAAATGCCAGTTTTTATCAGTTCATCATTCGTTTGTGCAAATCTGCAGACCGTCGGGTAAAAATCCCCCTTTCTGTCTCAGCACACACACACACACACACACACCCTTACCACGCTGATTAGCTGTATGAGCTGCAGTCCCACCGTGACCTCCACCGCCTCGCTGAAGTGGTTAACCGGGCGCACCACTTTGTTGTAACCGGTGAACAGTTTTTTCACCAGATCTGTCTCATCCTGCGAGCAGAAGGCTGACCCTGGAGCAAAAAGACACAAACACACACACAAACACACAAATCATTAGGTCTCGTCTTTCTTTGCTGAATCTCCTACTGGGAATGAAAAAAGGCATCCGAAGAGGAGTACAGAGCACTCATCACGCATCGCCAGCCCATTGAGTTTAAACTCAGTCCATAAACAGAATGATGTTTAAATCCAAACTGACACATTCATTTTTTAATTTGTTAGTCGTGAACTCAATATGAGTTCAAACAACTTCACGAAACAAGCTTTGCTCAGAGGAAGAATCTCTCTAAACAGGTATCTGACCTGATGTCTGTTGTGATCTTAGTGTTGGAGGTTTTTGGGGACACAGACGGGGTAAAACTGCTGACTCGGTTCTTTCGATAAACGCGCTTCACACTGGTTTCTGGTTTGAGTCGGACACACACGTCCTCACAAATGTTTTCACCGCGGAACTGAGACGAGACGGTTGTGTTTACGGTGGGGATTGGCACGCCAGACCGTTTCCCGTTCAGCAACCTGAAACCCGAGAGGCCATGTGCACGGGGAATGAGGGAGACAGGAGGAGGGTGGGGGTGGTGGGGGGGTTATCTGATGAGAGAGGGGCAGGGACAGATGGATACAAATGGATCAGCAGCAACAACAGTCAAGTGACCGGTATTCCGTGTTGGTGAAAAGGCTCTGGCCTGAATGTACCGGGCTCCTGGGTCTAAACCTTCCCGGCGTGAGTGGAATCTCAGAGCTGAGCCGGTGTTTGGGAAATTCAGCCCGGGCCAATCCATCTGACACCACTCGTGGATCAGACAGACTTTAGTACGGTTAGCCTACATTGAACACCTCCTCAGAAAAAAAACAGGATTCTGTTAACCCGATTCTTTAGTTGGAAACCTGAGAATAAACCAGAGTGGATCAAGAGTCTCCTCAAAGGAGGACTGGACATAACCAAGTCCTATTGGCTAGTTACCTTTGGGCATAAACAGGCCAGGTCCTAATTCATGTACATTACATTGGAATGTGGTAACAAATGGTGTGTGTGTGTGTGTGTGTTGACCTAAAGGTGTAACAAAGAAATAAAAAGAGAGAAAGAGAGAGTCTGTGGGCACAGCCAGAGACTTTAACAAAAAGTAAAGTTCTAAAAAGAATAAGACAATCAGTAATAATTAACATAGATTATGTTATAGCATACTATGCTAAAATGAGTCATTTTAGCCAAATTCTTACAACTCTCATGCACTTATGAAACCATTAATGACTTTTTTCTGTTGATTTTTTGCTGTTCAATGGCATATTTCATGGATATTACAGGTGTTGCGAAATATTCAAATATTGAATAAAAATCTTGAAAATATGTGAGATGAACATACGTCCATCAAGCTGCTGGACTGGTTCGATCAGAAAAAAATAAGTGGCACTTTTCCCATTGCATCCAGCAGCTGCGATGCTGAAACTTTTCATGTATTCATTTGACCTGGTGCCTTTGATCTGGTGTACAATAAGCAAACCGTCTGTGTCGCCACAGAAAAACATGCCCTGAAGTTTTGTCTGTGATCCAAGCACACGGCTCCCCCAGTTCAGTCCCATCCCAGGCTGGTTATTTCTGGAATCCGCTGGTGAGCCGCGACCCGGTCGCCCAGTGGGATCCGATTTCATTTAACCGGCAAAGAGCAGAAGACCCACATCACATCACGCACAACTCCTGGACGCACAAACGCTTTTGCCCCTCTTTTCCCATCCTCTGATCTGCCTTTAAAAAATAGTTCTGGTGTCGTTAGCCGCCGCTTTCTGCTGCTTTTGGGCTGGAACCGGGGGCCCGTTGTCGTGCGGGCACGCTTTGATCGGCCCATCTACAAAAATAGAGGCCCATTTGGAGCTGTCAATCACTTCCCGCTCTTAATTGCTGCTTCCGCTTGCTGTGGAGGCCCCGACATGCAGCCGGCTCTCCGCGCTGTCTTAGGCTAAAGCTAGCAGCTAGCTCTGTTTGAGCACATGCCACCGTAAAACTAGCAAACAAACAACACAGAATTCAACAGCGTAACTTTTCCAATCGTTCCAACTAAGCATCACAGAGTTGACACAGGTCTGACGGGCCTGTATGAGGCCTTTTAGACCTTCGGTGGGCTCATAAAAACAGCGTTTTAATGGACTGGATCCCCTTTCAGCCCCTGCTTTATGTGAAGGCCTCCACTGATTTCATTAATCTGAACTGACTTCTGCTTGTTTTGTCATCCATCCCGATGAGAAACACACACACCCGTCTTTTGGATGGTCTCTCTGAAGACCCAAAAAGATCAAACTTCTCACACAGAACCGGAAAGAATCAAAAGTTCATAACATTAAAGAAACGCAACACTGCTTCTGTTTGGCTCTTATGGAGGGTGAACAAAGACGGACGCTTCGAGACATCATCGAATGCAAAGCGCTGTCATTTTCAGTCATCAGAATGTATTTCAAAGTCTGCTTTAATATGATGGAGGACCACAACGCCAAGAACAGAAGAAACAACAAAGCTTTTGCTCCCAATAACTTCCTTCCCAAGACCCTGTGAGACCCTTGGATACGTGGTCCTATTTGAGGCCGTCCAGGGCCGTTTGTCTGTGTGTGTCGATTGGATGTGTGACACTGAAACAGCTGTGAGAGGACAATTGTGTTCACTTCACATGGTTTGTGTTGGGCCCAGCACAGTTGGTCAGTGTGACTGACCCTGGTTTATCAGTCTGAGCTCATTTTTCCTCAGAGACATGACAGCGGTGCTCCATTTCCAACACAACCTGTGACTAAACCTGGATTAAATCAGGGTTTATCCCCCCAAAAATCCTGTTTATTCAGAAAAACGCACAAAGCCCTCTCTGTTTGAGCCCTGTTGTCACATGTATGACAATAAGTGACGGGCGTGGCAGGAATGAGCTGATGGCCGAGCCAAAAACCTGCTAACTAACTAACTAACTAACTAACTAACTAACTAACTAACTAACTA